TCAGAAAAAGACTTTTGTTTGGTTGCACACACATTTGTGCTGCTTGAAATTTTTTGCCTTTTGTGGTTTTATTTTGGTCAAGAATATATTACTTTTTTAACTAAAGAGTTAATTAAGAGGAAGAAGAGAAATATGAGGCCAGCAGAAAGCTCCAGTCAGATAAAGAGTCCTCCATTTCCATAACCCAGATAGATTTGGCCTAGATTATGACAAGTTTCATAATTTCAAAATCCAGCAAAAATTAAAAATAAAATATATCTTGCTTTTCCCCCCATTTAACAATGGATCATCTTTTAGTCAGTGTTATTAATACCCCCAACAACTATTGACCAAGAACCTCTTAACTTCCCAGCACAGTTTGATGCTATGGGAAGTACCCAGAGGTGATAAGAACAATACCTTCCTTCACGTTACATATAATTTAACAAGATAAACAAGAAAATTTCAAGTAATAAAAGAGCTTAATGATTATTCAAGTTAATTCTGTCTGAAGCCTCTAAAAAATAGCTTTTTTGAGATGTTACAGTGTCACCAGAAGTCAGCAGGGGGCACTTCAAACATATCTGTGCTGAACTCAGGTTAGCTCATTTTCTAGATCTTTGATATTTTGTCTGAAGTTACCTCAGAATGTGAACTCCTCAGCAAAAAACACTGGTGGTCTTACATATTCAAGTCAAGTCAGGTCCCAAAGAAACTCTCCTTTTATTTCCTACATGGATTTCAGTTTTTAAGTTTTTTTTTTTAATAAAACTACTTAAAATTAACATGGATTATAAATCCAGTAGGCTATCTGTGGGACATTCATTTGGGTTTTTATGAGCTGTCTTCTAGAAAAGGCCTACACCTTTCTCCCCCTCAGCAGTCACAGTATTTGTCTCTCTGGTATGTTCTGATGTGTCTCCCTCACCATAAGGCCTTGTTCCAGGACATGCCATTGCAATGCATTGGCTTTTTAAATTATTATTCACTCTCTTTTTAAAAATTATCTTTTATTTCTCTTCTAAACTTTATTTAGGCAAAACTTCTAATGCTGATATTAAAATATGATTTCTTTCTTTCTTTCTTTCTTTCTTTCTTTCTCTCCTTTCTTTTTCTTTTTTCTTTCTTTCTTTCTTTCTTTCTTTCTTTCTTTCTTTCTTTCTTTCTTTCTTTCTTCTTTCTTTCTTTCTTATCTTTCTTTTTCTTCCTTCCTTCCTTCCTTCCTTCCTTCCTTCCTCCTTCCTTCCTTCCTTCCTTCCTTTCTTTCTTTCTTCTTTCTTTCTTTCTTTCTTTCTTTCTTCTTTCTTTCTTTTTCTTTTGTTGTTTGCTTTCTTTTGTTCTTGGAAGAAGGGAGGGGATGAATATCCCCAATGCAAAAAACTAAAATCCTTAAAATGTGTCTGGATTATTTAACACCATACTTTTATCACTGAAGCAATTCTTTCCATACTCCACAGTTCCTTCACCCCCAGAGCAAAGAAAGTATCACTGGTTCCTTTATTCAAACCTGGTGGAGGAAGGAGATAGTAGCAAATTGGCTAAGTATAATATTTATCTATACTTTATCTTTTTCAAAATACAACACCCAACTTTACCAATGGAGAATTATACTCTGAATTTAACCTTCTTTTGAACTGCCGCTTGGAATTTCTTCAACATAGCTTTGCTAGGTAATGAATAAAAGAAGTCTGCAAGGTCAGCATCTCCACTTATCAACTGTCCAGTAGGACAGCTCTAGCCTCAGGCACCAGATCCCAGAGCTATGATCTCAACCTCATCCTCACCCTCACTGTCACATCACCATCTCTGACAGATGCAGCCTGTGCATATGTGCATATGGTAGGTGGCACTGGAAAAGTTTTTCACAGCAATTTTTGGTTAGCATTTTGATTTTGTTTTTTCTTATTAAAAGTCAATAGATTTTTAAGTACTTATTATATTTAAGAGTTATATTTGTAAATTTTATTTTCATTAGCCATGCTTTTTTCTACATTAAATATAATTTTTGTGGTAAAGACCAGATCTACTTCAGTACTGATGTTCTTTTAGAGCCCACTTAAACATTCCATCATATTTTAATTTAGAAAAAAAAAGCCACAAAAAAATATATGCCCTAAATTATGCATGTGCAACAAACATCTGCTTCTCAGCTTTTTCCAATTTGTAATTACAGCAAGATTAAAATATAACCATCAAATATTTTTCCCCCTTGGGATCGCCAAAGGAAAAAACTTTGTGATTTGTGGTTACTGTTATTTATTCTTGGTTTCATCTTCCCTCAACTGTACAATGGGAATATTATTAAGTCCAGGGCGTTTTTTGTTTTTGTTTTTGTAATGATTAAATGCAGAAACGGATGAAAAGTGCTCAGTGTATGCAAATAGCAGTCCCTCAGTCTAAATAATAGATAGATTTAACAAGATAAGAAAAGATAGAACTTCACTACAGTTCTGGAGTTTCTGGTCCTTTCTATAGGCAAACCCATTTAACTTTTTATTTACATCATTTTAAACATATACCAGGAGCAAGTGTCCTGCTGTAAGAGTGCTGGGTTGTTAACTTTTATAAAACAGTTTAGCTTCTTCTAATCTGAAGATTTTTAAGGCTGTTACAAAGGAAATGCCAACTATGAAAAAAGTCAAGCATCATGTCATCGGGAATCAAATAACTTTGCTGAAGTTTGGACGAGGCACTTCACCGAGGCACTTCGCTAACGCACAGGCAGTCCAGACCTGGAGATCAACAGCCTCCGCAGTACAACGCAGGCATCTCTGAGAACAGCCAATCAGGAGAGCGCATTGCCACCACACCCACCTGTTCATTGCTTGTCCTGGCGATCGGAGCCAAATTGTCTCCTTTTTTTACCAGGCTGAGTTGCTAGGAGTTAATTCTTCCTGGAAATCTCTGCCACTCCGATGGACATGCAGCATAACAGCACAGGCCATTCCAAAGCTGGTTTCGTGTTAAAAAAAAAAAAAATTAACCCTTTATTTCTTTGGTTTTGTTATCTGTTAACCTGGGAAATCATTTTAAACATACATTATAAGACTCAGACTTCCCTTTAGCAATTACATAAAATCTTGTGGTTCTCTGAAAGACACAGAAGTGCAGATTGGGTTATTTATCTTAGCAAACAATATTTATGTGGGAAAATAGACCTCATGAGTATTCTATATAAGATAGTAGGCATTTTTGCACTTTTGTTTGTATGTCATTTATATCTTGAGCACACACCATGCAACTGTATTCATTTTGTGTCATTTTTTTTTAAATTAGAATTTACTATATAGTTTTTGGAGGGCTACCACATCATAGTTATTCATCTTCTGCACAGTCTATTCAAAGTTCCTCTGAGGGGTTTAATTCTTTGCAGGTTTCAGAATTCCTCTATATGCTTTGTCATATAGAATGAATGTGCACAATATATTGTTGAATAATTGCAAGACAATATGTTGTGTTGTGGCATTTAATGCATCAAATTAACAATAGAATTCTATTTTACAGAATAACAAATTTAGAATTACTGGGGTATTATCAGATGTATTTCATTTATAAGAAAAACTTAACATGTGAGCCCAGTTTAAATTCTGTGGCCTTTCATCTTTCTCACACACAAATGTGGATGGGGTAGAATGAATAGAAGGAAGCATTCAGGATATTCAGAGAAATAATTCAATATAGACAGTGAATTGGAGGTTTTGATTTATGAGTCTGTTTCTCAGATGTGAAGTGTGGAGTATAAAGATAATTGTTTTTCTTGGCTAATGCAAATTATTTACATTTAGAAAGATATTTGAAAGTATTCTGAACATTTTGGCAAAAAATACAATATCCAATGAAACTTCATTATTTTACTCGCATACCTCAAGACAACATTTTTAATAGGTTATTAAGATATAATTTACATACCCTAAATTTCACCCATTTAAAGTGTACAAGTCAATGTTTTACCACAATGTAATTTTAAAACATTTTTTTATCACCATTCCCCCAAAACTTCTCCATTGTTCCCCAGCCCCTATTCCCCAGCACCAGGCAACCACTAATCTACTTTCTGTCTCAAAATGTGCCTGTTTGTGGATTTTTATATAAATAGAATCATACAATATGTATTTTTTGTGACTGGTTTCTTTCACTTAGCATAACAAATCTAGTTTTATATTATTTGACCTCAACAATCTGTCTCTGATGATAAAATATTATCCTTGGATTCCTGTATGAGTTTGAGGAGTGGGTATAATTTTCGTGAGAGAAAACTTACAAACTAGTTAGAGCAGGAGGGCTTTTCTCCACCACATAGGCTAATCCATTTTGCCAATATTAATATACCAGATTGTGCAAGCATAAGATGCAGAACAATGTGTGTCCACGGATCCCTAAATTGACATTGTACAGAATTTTGGGAAAAACAGAAAGAGAAACAACAACAAACATTGCAAGTTACAAACAGAAGCCATCAAAAGAGAAGTATAGTTTAAGTATTGATCAAATGTAGTTTAACAGCTTAACTTCCCCTCCTTGGAAAACTGGTGATTGAGAGTATTTAACATAAATGCATATAAATTTGTGTTTGGTGCTTGTACAGGGGGCCCTTGCAAGACAGAGTCCTTAGGAAAAGCAAAGAGGAACCTTACGGAGAAAGCAAATTTTCCCTTCTGCCCTTTTCCCCTCTTCTCGCGGACAAGGTTTATCCTCTTTACAGTTTGTTCAAATACTTGGAAGTGAATTTAGGGCCCTCCCCCCAACTTATGATTTTATAGCCAATAGGTGATGAGGTTTATTTGCATATTTCCAGTCACATAAGCAGCTGTGGAGTGGAAACAGTGTCAGACTCGATTCTTCCTCCTCCTCCTCGGAGGGAACCTGCCACTTCTAGCTGCCCTGCCCTCCCTTTTAAAGGGCAACTTGCCCCACGCCGGACCTCAGCTCCAGCCTGCTCCCACCTCGGGCTAAGCTGGTCCATCACCCTGTCCGCGCTTCTGCCAGTGCCCTGTAGCTTCTACAGAGAGACGCGCCCCGAGATGGAGAGCAAAGCACTGTTCCTGGTGGCCCTTGGCATGTGGCTCCAGAGTCTGACCGCCACCCGCGGAGGGGTGGCCGCCGCCGATAGTAAGTTTTGCCCGAAGACTCCTCTCCACCTGCAGACTCCACTTTGGCCGCTTCCACACGTTATGAGGATGGGAAAGAGGGAGTCGAAAGGGGTTGCAGATGTGTACCGGAGACTCTCCTAGACTGAGCGCCGGTTCCGAGAAGAGTCAACGGGCTGGGATCCGGAAGGGGTAGGGAGGGAATTCTCCCTCAGATTTTCCTGGAGTCGTTCCCGCGTTGTCCCTTCCAATCTGGCTGAGGCAGTGTTTCCGGGTCCGTAGACTCAAAGAGGAAGAGTAGGGGGGGTAGCTCGAGGGGCGGGACGAGAGAGATCGGAGGAAGGGCTTAAATGGCGGTGATCGGCAGTAATTGCCTCTCACGAGGACCCTGGAATGAAAGGCACGCAGGTCAAGGTGACCCTGGCGCGGCCGCCACCGCGGCTCGGCCCCCGCCTATGGGAGCGCCGGGAGAGAGTGGCCCCTTCTCTTCGAGAAGCCGACCCGCGGGGGTGGGGACGGGGGAGGAGGCTTTGTCCGTATCTCAGAAGCACCGGACACTCGCTCTCGGCGTCGACACGGTGGTGGGGGACTGGACGCGTGGCGCCGAGTCCCGCGGACGCAGCGTCCTGCACGCGTTCGGGAGCCAGGGAAGGTCTCCAACTTCCATTCTTGCACGCGCCGCTTTTCTTAGCACCCAGAAAACCTAGCGAAGGGCTGCCCTCCTGAAAACATGGCGCAGCGACCTGCAGTCTGTGGCCGCCGGCTTGGGTGTTACGAGGTTTGCATTCGGCTACCCTTAAAGTCCTCGGAGCCGAGTCCAGCTCTGACGCCCAGCCTCGCGAAGCGTCCACAGGCACGTGGGGCTTCCAGGAGGCGCAGCTTGAACCCCAGGCACCGCCCTGGCGCCACCGGCTCATCAGGGTTAACGTATTACAGGAGAGATGCGAATTTCTTTATTGCAGAGAAGGCAAAAGACCAGCCTGAGACCTGCCCACTATAGAGGCAGTCCTAGTACCTTGAACCCTGCTTGGTTCACCGAACATACAACAGCAACCAAAAGGCAACTGAAGCAACTCGTAAGCGCATGCAACATTTTCTTCCCCCTTCGTGGTGAAATTGCAGTTAGGGCAGTGTGGCTTGGATGTGCTTACAGGCAGCATGGTTCAAGTTACAGTCAAGTTTGTCCATGACTTTGATTGCAGCTGAAAGTTTATTTCAGCAGTGGGTTGTAAAAGAACATTTTTGTTAGATTTATTTAAAAAAATGTAGATTTCATCAAATCTGATTGGATTAAAAAAAACAGTATCTGGAGGTGCAATTAAAAAGTCTTAAATATCTTATATAGTGGCATGTTCCCCTCCATAGTGTTTAACCCCGTCCAAGAAGATGGTAGGAGCAAATTCCATATTCTTATTGCAGAAAATACACCATGGTGTGAAGTTACTTTTACCATAAAAACCACACAAATATTTGTTTTCCACAGTTTGTTTTTGCTGGCTTTTTATTTATTTTGAGAGACGGGGAGAGCGCGGGAGCACACAAGGTGGGGAGGGGGGAGAGGCAAAGGGAGAGGGAGAAGCAGACTCCACGCTGAGCAGGGAAGCCCTACCTGGGATGGATCCCAGGACCTTGGGATCTTGACCTGAGCGAAAGCAGAGGCCTAACCGATGGAGCCACCCAGGAGCCTCTGTTTTTGCTGGCTTCTTAGAAGTTCACGACCCTAAATTCTTGGTCTAGTTGGTGTCACCTCTCTGGGTTTGGATTCCTCAACTGAAAAATGAGGAGTTCAGGCGACACTCAAAATTATCCTAGTCTTCTCTAATTCACACTCTTTGATTTAAATGGACACTTTGTGATTGATGAATTAAATTGGATTTTAAGCAACGTGTGCTTTAGCTAGCTGTAAATCTGTCAAGGGAGGAATCTTCTTTTTTTTTTAATAATTTTGAAATTTTTGTTTTTGTTTTTTTAAGAGAGAGAGAGCACCTGAGCACGAGGGGGGAGGGGCGGGGGGGGAGAGAGAATCCTAAGCAGGCTCCACACCCAGCGCCTAGTAGATGCTGGGCTCCGTCTCCAGACCCTGAGACCTTGACCTGAGCGGAAATCAAAAGTCAGATGCATAAGGGACTTAGCCACCCAGGTGCCCCAAGGGAGGAATCATTTTTAAATCGACATGAAATTAATCCCTGCTACCCCTCCCTCCTACTCTCACTCCACCACTCCCTCCCTTTCTATTATGCTTCTCCCATCACAGCAAATTTATACCCCTTTTCTCCTCCAGATGAATTCATCTAGGAATGTAACAATTTCAGAGGCAAAAGATACGAGTGTGAGAGAATGGTAAACAGCACCTCTCTGGGCTCTGACTTATTCTGGATTTTTTTTTTTTTTTCTAAGAAGAATGTGAGGATATGAGGCGCTAACTGCCCTCAGGCTCTTTGTTGAAGCCACCTCAGTCCCTGCAGGGCCTCATTAGGAAACTTGAAGAGCTAGACAAGGAGCATATGGATCAGTACTCAGGGGCTGCAATTCTATTTGACCTGCCATAGTGAATTTCCAGGCTATCTAAGTTAAATGTGATGGGTGATAACAGCAAAATAGCTGATGCCATTTGCAAATGGAGCAGAGCTCAGCACTGGAGTGATTGATTAATAGTAGTATTGAAAATTGTGTGTCAGACACAGGGGTAGAGTTACAATGGAAAATTTTCACTTTCTTTCAGGTAGTGTAGTGTATTTTTAGCTTAACCTTTCTTCTTTGCTTTGTTCAGGAGGAGAAATTGAGCTATATAGTTTACTGCTTCTATTTTATGAACATTTTTTTTCTATAAAAATGAAAAGCAAATCTGTTAAATAAGTCAAGAGCATTGGCTACATCGGAATATCTGAAAAGACCAATCACTTTAGTCAGATATTTTTTCCCCTGATCAAACTTTTTTTGTTCTCACCCAGTCAGTTTGGTTTTTGGCATTCTGTAGAAGCTGCCTGAATCAGTAAGGATGACCATCAGTTTCAGAGAGAAGGTAAATTATTGCTGAAGTCCTTTAAGTATGTGTGTGGTGGGGTAGAAAATTCTAAGAGAATTGCATTATAATTGAGCTCTTGTACCTCATGTCTTCATATGCACACTAATCCTATTCATCTGATAATTGTGAGCTGACTTTAGAATATCTTTCCTGGGATGCTCAATGTTCCTTCTTTTCTAGGAACAATAATGTAATCCCCAATAAATTTACCTTTGAAGTGCTTTGATCTCTCAACCTAGTTTCATCTCTGTGAGTTATTATCCACATTAAGTAAATTCCTTGTCTTTTTTTATACGCTTAGAATTTTAGCTATTTAATAATTTAGAAATAAAGATTATATAGGCAAGAAATGCATTAACTTGTATCTTACCCCAAATCTTGCCTTAGTGCTGAATAAGGACATATCTGATGGGAACCAGTTGGTGTGGTGATGCTGATATGATAAGTTGAATTCAGGATGGAAGCTCTTATGAAGGAATACAACTTAGGCAGCCTCCCTTCCACTAATTTAAAGTAGCTTTAATTTCTAAGGGGACCTGATAAAAAAGATCCTTATCCCCTTAAAAAAGATAAGTGCAGAGTCTTTAATACCGTTTTCATGTATGGAAAACAATAATTCTCTTAGTAACAATGGAATCAAATCAGTTCATCTGCCAGCCAAGAGCAATCCCAGTGTATACGGGGACAGCTAAACTTATTGACTGACACACATCAGTTGTGTGAGAAAGTGAGGCTTGGGAAGTACATTCATCTTTAGGATGCTGAGACACTCTTACACCAGTAGTGTGAAAATTTCTATCAGAATACCAAAGAGAAGGAAAGACTGACTGTAATCACTAATAACATTTATGATTTCATATATAGAATTGACATAGAATTGAAAACATCTTGTAGCATATAGAGTGGTGCTGTCTTCCTGTCAAATGCTTCATTATGCTTTCTGTAAATTAAAATGAAAAAGAATTTCCCTGAGAAGTGAAATAAAAGTCTCCAAATACAAATTTGTTTGAGAATGTATGAATTTCCTATTTTTTTATTTAGAAGCTATACCTAATAGGAAATGTTAGTTGTGGAAAATTGGACCTCTCAATGGGCTATGCAGATAATCTGTACAGGAGCTATGATTTTTTTTTTTTTGAGAGGGAGCCTGCAAGGCCCAAGAGGGGAGGGGTAGAGAAAGGGAGAGAATCTTAAGCAGGTTCCACCTCCAGTGCAGAGCCATCTCGGAGCTTGATCTCACCACCCTGAGATCATGACCTGAGCTGAAATCAAGAGTTGGATGCTCAACTGACTGAGCTATCCAGGCACCCCGGAATCTATGAACTTAATAGACTTTTTTTTGTGTGTGGAAATATACAAAGCTAGCCTTAATAATGTCAGAGAATATTCTTAGTCATTTCAAAACCACCAACAACACCAGGGCTATGAATCTATGAATTAAATAGACTTTTTTTTCATGGAAATATACAAAGTTAGCTTTAATAATGTCAGAGAATATTCTTAGTCATTTCAAAACCACCAGCAACACAAGGGCTACCGTATTGCATAATTCTAGGGAAAAATAGACTGAAGTGAGTGGCATCCTCTGGAGTCATGCAAGGCAACAGTCTTAAATATCAGTTTAACAAATAGGTGGTGGGTGAGATCTGTCTGCCAGGTCATTTGGATGATTTCTACTTCATAAAAATTGGTAATCAAACATGTTAAAATATGATTATTGAGGAGGGATGAGTTATTTGATGTGGAGAGATATGGGATAGGTGAAACTAATTTAGTTTTAAATTTTCTAAAGTACTTTGTAACAATAAAAAAACTTCTTGGGCATTGAGAGCAGAATCAGATTACAAATTTACAATATTTTTTTCTACTATCAGGTAAATAATAAGGCCACCAAAGTACTTCCTGGCTAGAAAGCAAAAGGAAGACCTACATCCTCAAATAAGATGGAAGGCAGAGTGTATTTTTAATAAGTCAATGGCTTTCAAGTGCACTTTTACTATACGAAAATGAAAAAAAACTTAAATATCAATAGTTTATCACAGGCTATCATTTGAATAAGTTATTTTAGAATGTTCAGGTGCTAGAAATTGTTTGTGTGTGTGTGTGTGTGTGATCAACTTGTTACCTATAATGAATTACTTAGCAAGTAGCCACAATATTGCTTAAGGAGTTTTAGAAAATAATTAAAAAGGAAAATGTTGACCAGTACTCAGCTAAGTACATGATAAGCCTGATTTGAATCCCTGTACATTCACTATACTATATCATTCTTATTTTCACTTTTTGCCTGGCTTTTGCAATGTTACTTGGAATTACAGATTTTTAGCAATTGAATTGTGAAAAGTGTTAGTTTAAATTAAGAAATTAGAAGGACCAATTATTTATCTTCTGAGTTTTAAATAGAGAAACCTAAAAGCTACAAATTATTACCTTATAGTAAATAGTTTTTAATTTTTTTACTTGCGTTAAGAAATTAATTTCCCATAATATAACTTCCCTTTGACTTGCTCACTTTAAGAATTTGACTTTATTTGAAATACAATTTACTTCAAGCATTCACTGTAGTATTAAATGAAGACTTATCAAAATTTAGATTTATTATCAAGAGAGTCAAAAGGTTGGCTGAAGTTTTATTTCTCTCCTTATTCACTTCGGGATTGACTATGAAGTCAAAGTGGATTTTTTCCCAAACCTGCTTTGCTGTAGTTTTTTAACAAGTAATATTGGAAAAGAAATATTTGGGGAAAGAATTAACCAGTTCAGGGGCACCTGGATGGCTCAGTTGGTTAAGCATCTGCCTTTAGTTCAGGTCATGATCCCAGGGTCCTGGGATCAAGCGTGTCTGGCTCCCTGCTCAGCGGGAAGCCTGCTTCTCCCTCTCTCTCTGCTGCCCCCCCTGCTTGTACTCTCTCACTCTATCAAATAAATAAATAAATAATTAAAAAAAAAAGAATTAACCAGTTCACACATAGCACAGGCATTTCTGAATGATTTTTTAAAACATTTTTAACTGATGTACCTTGCTATGAGGATGGGAACAATTTTATACAAAAATTTACTTAGGCTTCCAACTTTCTTATTGCTAACATTTAAAAAAAATATGCTAGTGAAAAGGAAACAACTTTTCCTCAGGCCTATTATATAATATTTTGGGAAAACATTCCTTTGATGTAACCAGAGAGTGAAAGAGGGTGAAATAATATATGAAATAAGTGGAACTTTACAATGCAAGAGCCATGAGCCAGTATTCTTTGGGAGAATGAGTTTTGAATTATAACCAAGAGACCTGGATTCTGGTCTCTGTCAATTTTGATCACCAATGGAGGATTAGTCATTCTCTTGCAATCTACATAAATTTAAAAAAATAGAAACAAAAATAGCACTGGTGGTAGCTGCTTATAAACCTAAAACATACCATTCCAGCAAATAAAACAACCCTCCAATTAGCCACCTATCCAATTTTTCCTTTTCAGGAATTACGGGAGGAAGAGATTATATAGATATTGAAAGTAAATTTGCCCTAAGGACCCCTGAAGACACAGCTGAGGATACTTGCCACCTCATTCCTGGAGTGACAGAATCTGTGGCTAACTGCCACTTCAACCACAGCAGCAAAACCTTTGTGGTGATCCATGGCTGGACGGTAAGATAGTCTCTTTGGGAAGGAACAAATTGGGATAGACCAGGCATCCTGCCTGACTGGCTTGCTCCCATTGTTGGGAACTCCATGAGTCTCCCTATCTTGTATGTCTGCTTGTTTTCCAATGGTTTTACTTTAAACTTGAGTACAGGCAATTTTGGTTTGGGGTGGGGATTGTGGAATCCAAAATCACGTGTTCATGAGTACGTCCCCCAGGTAATGCCATCTTTCATTTTATCATGGTATTTAATTGATACCCTCAAACCATCCATTCTTGTGAGGTGGGAAAATAAGACTTTGCTCAACTACAGAGCAGAATGTAGGTTATCATTTTAGGAAACCAGTGGAGACCTGTCATGATCCTGATTCATGCAGCACATCACCAAATGTCCTTTCCTAAGGGAGAAGCTGTCAGAGAGAGGAGAGGGTTGGAGTGGAGTGAGGAGATATTGATTCTGGTTCTGGCTTTGCCATTCTCCAGCTCTGTAATGTGATTGATGCTACTTCTCATCTCCAGGCCTCAGTTGACTGATGTGTAAGACAAAGAGGTTAGACTCTACGTCCCAAATTCTCCAATTGGAAACTTTAGGGAACTTTTCTAGAGATTAAAGAGGGCTAGCCAGGGAAGTGTCATGCAAAATGATTAGAAAAGGTGAAAACTGTGGTTACATTTACTTTTACTTTTAAAGAATACAAATAGGTGATGAGGATTAAGGAGTACACTTGTGATAAGCACCAGATGTTGTATGGAAGTGTTGAATCACTAAATTTTACATGTGAAACTGTGTGTTAACTAACCGAAAGTTAAATAAAAACGTTTAAAAAAAAAACAAAATACAAAAATAAAGAATACGATTAAAGTAGTGGCTTCTAAATATGCCAGTCACTTTCCATGGTGCAGTTCTTAGCTACTTCAGTTGGTTGTTAATATTTTCAAATCCTAGTGAGCAGATTTCATTTTTTTATGTAAAAAGGACTTCTATAAAATGGGAGGTTAGAGAGAAAGAGTCCTGCCATTATGTCAGAGCTTGTCAATAAAGTAATAGATACTAAATAAATTCTAACAAGATGAATTAGAGAATGATTGATAGACTTCTAGTCTCGATATCTTTTCCTGTGTAACTTAAGTGCCTTTCTTATTAACAATCCTGGACAATTGCTATAACTTTTACAGAGGTGAAGGCAACTACCAACAGAATTTATGTGGATGTTTATTTTAAAAAAATCTATTTGCTAGAATTAACATAATAAATTACATATCTCATGACAAAAATATATATTCAAATTCTCAACAGATGTTTTTACATTTTAAGAGATTTAAATAAGAAGAAGCAATCATTGGTAGTTTTAGAGACATTTTGGTTGTATATAGAACTTTAAATACTTTTCAAAAAAGTATAGTAAGCTTAATAAACATTATTTATGACAGAATAAATTGAATATCTCAAACATCTCAATCTTATCCCTAAGAGAACTTGATACTTTAGGAATTTTGCAAAAGTATAGTTCCTTCTCATGCAAAGATGACATGACGAACCCAGTATCAGCAGATAGTGCCAATTTCTATCATTGGTCTTCCTGCCCGCTAAGCACACCATATTCTTCACACTGTATGTCCTGACATTTTGAAAGCCCAAGCTCAGAGGCTAGGCCACTGGCTGTGGAACTGAGTTTCATCATAAAGAGCTGGTTGGTTGGGCGCCTGGGTGGCTCAGTTGGTTAAGCGACTGCCTTCGGCTCAGGTCATGATCTTGGAGTCCCGGGATCGAGTCCCACATCGGGCTCCCTGCTC